GAAGAATTATGGCTTTGATTTCCTAAAACAATCTAGAGCATGGACTGGCATCAAACAACAAAGACCACAACCTGTTAAAACCTGTTGTTTGCATCAGCTTACACATATTCAAGGATCTTTAAGCATTCAATAATATAACCATATCACCATTCCATTACTAAACATTTAAGCCAGTTCCTTAAGAATGCCTTTTCCAAAAAATCCAAAATAGACTCATCACTTAAGGTTAGACGAATATTGTGTTTATAAGCACTGATTATGTAATATACAACACTATTCAAAAGTGATAAAGACATCCACTTACTTAAATCGCCATCTTTCTCTAAACTTGTCTGAGCCATTAAATGTCTAAATCAAACAAATCATATGAAAAGTGATGGTCAACATTATCTTCAAGCCATATCTTGTGCATATCCAACAAACTCTTAATCAATGTAGACAATTTAAGAGTTAATCTATGCAGTTGGATGGTGTTCATCATGCTACCCTGTTAGCTGAATTAGCTTATGCATGCCTGATGCTGCAGCAAGACTCCATTATTATACCTCAGGGATCAAACAGCACACTCTATTTAATGAAAACAATGGCGTAATATATTGCGTTATAAGACTGCCACGGCTGGCTATCACTTAGACAAATGCAGTAATCACACCAGAACAACTGCAGCCAACAGCTGCACAATTCCTGCAACATGGGGAGCAGCATAGGAGCAGAGCTCAGGCAGTCCTAGGAATTCAGACACAGATATGGAGGAAGGAGAGGTCAGGGAAACCAGCCGTTTATTTACTAGACAAGACAGACTCAGTGGGAAACCTCGTGACTCATTTGTTTTATTACTCCGTAACAGTCCCTAAAAACACATTTCCTTATCAAGATAACAATCAGTAACATTCAACCAGCGCCAATATGATGTATAAACAAGGAACCAAAACTAATAATTAGACCAAACATTTCTGCAAAATATCTGCTTACACAGTGAGTAAAAAACTCACAGCTCTATGACTTCACTTATATATTGAAATTTGTGCATTTCAATACCACCCTGTGGTCAACAACAATTCCATTTTTCTCATCTAAAAAGAAATAATCATTTTATTAGTTTTTCTCAAACTCTTAAGCTTAAACTCGTAAAATGTAAATCAGTCTGTGAAGACTTTGACAGCAATTCCTGGCAGATGATAAATGTTTATAATATTACTATAAACAACTAATAAATTACTTTATTAACCTTTTTTGGAAGTAACTAAAAACACACATTTCAAAATGTCTTTCCTTCAAATGTCTAATCGTCCAAGCACATTAAGTCTTAACTGTTACTGTTGTCTAAGTATGACAGTCAGCTTAAACTCCTCATGCTGACCTTAAAATGACTTCAGTCACAATCAGAAAGCTGTTCATCTATCTCACCTTTCCATTTCAGGGTAGAGTCGTAAAGTTTTATCAGCTCACATTTCTAGATGTTGCTTGAGGTACCCAGCTCAGTTGAACTCGTGTGTGGCCTTGTGCGTATTGTTTTTTGTCCAAAGAAGTGGAAAGATGGACCAGAATGTTTCAGAAAACAATAGACGACCCAATTAATGATAATAGTGTCTACATACCAACACAATCACAGTTTTTCTTTCATATGGCTTTGTATCTGTGCCAAAAGAAAACATCTTTAGAAGATGTTAGGGGGGAGGAATCATCATTACGTAGTAATGCCAGAAGGTGGTAAAAAAGAAGATCTGAAAAAAAAGGCTTGGGGTAATGGATGAATAGACTGTCATCTACTTTATCAAAGTTTAATCAGTCTATTATATATTAAGTGACGAGGTGGTGCAGAATTCTACAGACTCAGAGGATTGCACAGACTAAAACACTGAGAAAAATGTTGTTATTGGCTCCGAGCTACGCATTGCTTTGACTGTTTGGTACGTATGTTATATCTACTCAAAGTAACCTAATTTATTCCAAATAGTAAGCAGCACGATATACAGTTTTTCTTGCCGGGGGTAAACATTTCCTGAATTGCTAGAAGAGCATCTAGACCTCCCATCAGGCATGCCAAATTCCACTACCACCACCAAGCACGAAGCACATACACACCTTTTTCCTCCTAAACCATATGGTTCATTCAAATTTCACTTTTTTTTACACATCTAACCTAAGACATAACTATTCTTGACTTACTCTAAATCATCCAATCTTAAAGAATGCTTAAGTTTTCAACAGTTTCTACTAGACTGAGATCCATGTATGTAAGATTGTTTTACATCACTTTACTTACTACAGCTTCTGACAGCCACAGTGTGGAGTCTGACCATCCGGTTTCTGATTAAAAAAGACATCTTATATAAAGGGAGACAGACTTTATCGATCCTAAAGGGCTTTCACATACAGTATAGGATAAAGCCTTGTTTTGTCAAAGATTTTACAATGGCATACATTTAGAATCCCATCCATCTTGTCTACTTTCTGTTCAGTAAATGTCACCATAAAAGCTTTGCCAGTGCTGAGATTTACTGCACCACCACACTGCACGGCCCATTCTTGTAACACAACACGACCATCATGCTGATGAAGATTGGACCCTGAAATCAATAGATTTTTGTGTATAATGCATCAACCATGCAACATATTTGGGTTTCTTCTCATGTGCAGGATGGCTTCATTTCCATGCAGGAGAAATGCTTTTAGCCACAAATTGTATTCGAGTAAGTGCCCTTCAAGGTCCATTAGGTAGTAGGTCAGTTTATACGCAGCCTGATTTAGACGTTCTTTAGAGGGTCTCTGTGGTGGCCCCCGACCTAATCCAAAAACAGACAGCTTACTTTGTCTCCAGTGGAGGTAGAGCGGAGATGGGGATTAAATAAAGGTAACCCAATTAAGACAAGGATCATGGGGTAAAAAACAGGGGTTTAGGAGAAAAGGAGGGATAAGGTCAGGACAGAGTGAGTGTTGTCCTGTTGTGAGATGCCAGACTGAGACAAAGGAGGGTTTCCACTGATCAGAGAAAAGTTGATCAACTGAAATGTCAGTTTTTTAAAATCTTTTTTCATCTTTGACATGCTCTTTCACTTAAGTTCGAAAAGTGGTGCCAACAAATGCATAAGAATATCGCTTATCTGTCCTGTGTTTCCTCTTCTTCATGTGCTTTTGGGCTCTGACCTTTAGGCAGAAACTCTCAGGCAATTTTTTAAACAAAAGTCTATTTGTACCACTCTTTTTGTAGGTTCTACAGTGCTGTGTACTTTTTTTTTTATTTTTGCTCTGGAACTAAACAGTTTTAAAACCTTATCATTTAAACACCACTGTGTCTCGTGCACGGCATGACAGCAAAAATGAAGTTGTAATCATTTGCATTTCCGATTACTACTGCAATATTTGTTTTAAAGGAGTCATGAAATAAATCCATTGTCAAACCAGCAGCCGATTGTTTCTCTGCTGAGCAGCTCACTGGTTTGAACCAGACACAGTTATCAGGCTCCCCCGAAAAATCCATAAGTCCCATTTTCAAACTGTTTGGCACAATTCAAGGTCAGTGTTGTGTCGAAAAAACTCCCGGGAGCACAGGATCTCTGCCCAGCTGACCCTGCCATTAAACCTCTGAGGGGAGGCGCCCGGCAGCATCATAATCAGATACCCACACCACCCAAAATCAACTGAAAATCACCTCAACTGACTCCTCTTGATATGGAGATGAAGAGTCTGATCTGCTCTTGAGCTGTGAAGTTTAATTATTTACCAAGAGGTCTCCAGGAGGCAGTGAATGCCATAAAACCCTCACTGACATCGGTGGACACCACGGAACTAAGTGTTCATTTCATGGCTCAACCCACTGAAAAAATAAACAATGTAATTTCTTTTTTTTTAAGTTACAGTTTATGTGTTTCCTGTTCCAGAACATTTTGCTTCATATTAGCACTACACGAACAGCAGCAAAGCATGGCCCATTGTTTCACTGCATCACACTGAGTGCTTCTGAGCTCATTTGATAGTCGGTGGTGAGTGAGTTTATCAGCTTTCCGCGTCTGAATTATTGCAGACTTGAGGTTGGACTCAGACAAAACAGCACATCTGCGAACATGACCTTGCTGTGTGGGAAACTGTTATGAATATTCTTCATTTGCCGTTGGTGGATTCATGTGGGAAGTTATCTGCAGGGTGTTGGAAAATGTTCAAATATTGTTGGGTGCCTTGTGTAGAAGGAATATAAACACACTGAAAACAATAATACAACTTTTGCAATTCCACGCAGAATGAAGTGTTGCCTTTTCAAAAGGTAACACACACACACACACACACATGCACGCACACACACACGAAGTCAATGACCTTAGCATAAAACCAGCCTCTTCCCTCACACAGTGGTATTGTTTAACCGATTAAAAGCTTCCCTAAACCGAATGCAGGGTTTTTCTTTCTAGGACTGTCCTAAAATTTTTATCCCAGGGTCAACTTAAAGTACTGCTTTTCCTCGGATATTGACAGAAAATCTATTAAAGCTTTAATAACTTATCCAGACTCTCGCGAACAGGGTCACGAGCCCTTAAAACAACAGCAATCACATGCTGGAGCGCGTTCCCACTCCGCTCCCGGTGCCGGACGGTTAATTAGCAGCACCAATTACGGCCCGGTTCGTTTCTCCTCTCAGTATTCCGAGACGGGACCGTTCAAACCCCCTCACATTTGCAACTTAGATTAAACTTAAACAAACGCAAAAATGAGTCGAACAGTCCTTGGTCCCCAAATTTCTGTCGGTTCGTCACATTTCAACCACCGTGACGAAACGCGACGACAGGGCTTCCGTAATTAACAGCAAATTAACGCAAACCACCAAAACAAAAAAGCAAAAAAACTGCGTAATAAGACCTGTGTTGGGGTTTATAAACGAATTCCTCTTTGTCAAAGCATTGAAAAACCTACACGCACATGAAAAAAAACAACGTTTGTCCTGCTATAACTTTTTTTTTTCAAGCTAATTAAAAAATGAAGACGTGTTTAATTTACGCTCGACTCACCGCTCCAGCTGAGCAAGCAGAGATGGAGAAACAGCGGTAGGAAGGCTCTGTGAAGGAAAGCCATGGCTTTGCCGCTCGTCGTATCCAGTTCAACACACAAGCTGAACACAAGTGCTGCGCCGACGTTGAAGTTAAGCAGCAGCCCGGAGGAGACTGAGGAGAGGACTGGGGGGGGAGGGAGGGCGGGAAGGGTGGGGGTGCAATTAAGGTCTCAGACTGGCGGGGTCCTCCTACTCTCGTATTTGTATGGAGAGAAAAAAATCGTCTTATCGGCGTTTTCTGCTACCAAATTCACACAGAGTACTTTTTTTTTTTTTTTCGGCTAGAAAGTCCTCAAGGTTACGATTAAATAAGTCCACCTTATCACGTCTCCACACCTTCGGGCCTGAAGCCCACAGCCCACGGCACGACCCAGCCACACACAGGCAACTTATTTTCACGTGTACTGGCTTAAGGTTGTAACTCGGGGCCGTTTATGTGAGAATCGAATTTGATTTTCGTAGTACAGGATATTTTTAGGAAAACGCTAGTGCGTTTTAGATCAGCCAGATACCTGATATATGGACAGCTGACAGGCTTTTAACAACGTTGGAGCTGATCTGTCCCAAAGCCTGTAGTGCTTCTAATAGAGCTAAAGAATTTAAACCTTTAAATCATGTTTGTGACAAAGAATAAAGTGACAAAGAAAAAGAAAAAGTTGAGTTTCAGGGGAAGTTAAACTGATGGTCTTTCAGGTTGGAAAGTCAAATGTGGTAGTTTTCTTTGTTGTTTGTTGGTTTTTTATGACGCCTGACGATTGATGATATCCGAAAGGGCCAAAACTAAACCAACTGATTCTTATTTGATAGAGGTTTGGTTATTTTTCGCTCATCAGTTCTGTTATGGAGCAAATTAATTCATCACACAAATGCCAAATTACACATATGGGCAACTGTTAGCTCCCCATTTCAGTCCCGTGGAGAACAATCCAACGGACGCTCAACCCTCTGAAAACAAAATTAGAAAGTTTACCCTCACAAAAGTCTTTTTAAATCATGTCATAACAACATATTTTTGGTGGACTGCTGTAAGGTTTCCAGGAAAGCCATGGGTTTTATGTAGGCCTGAGGCTGAAACTGATGGAGAGGCCAAAGAAACCAGCTACATCTTGAGCTGTTCACTGACCAGTAATAGTCAGTTGTTACAACGTCTGATTAGCTTCCATAACAGCTCCACTAATCACTTAGACTGACACCAAAGCAGATTTTACAGGAGGCAAAGCATGATGCCATAAAATAAAATATGGGTATTTTTGAAGACGGGAAAGGAGGAAACAGATCAACAATAAGAATTGTGTTTATATCCCAATGTTTGACTATCTGATATAATGCATAAATAAGGACTGATTGACTATTGTCCGCTGTCCAGTCTCACTGATTTAGTCGTTAGTGATGTTTGACTTGCAGCTCTTTTAAAGATAATCTAAGTCTGCAAACAAAGTAAATGACATTAAATGTTCAGTAACCGCCTTCCGTAATGGCTTGCATTCTAGCGTTTTCATTCCTACGACCGAAAAGACATTGAAGCATGTCCTCTAAAAGTATGTGTGAATTTTAAAGAGAATTTCGTCTTGTTGATGTAAAGCAATAATCACAGCAGCTCTGTGCAAATGTGGATCGGTCAGCCTTTATAATTGCCGAGGGACATGTGCTTTTAAGTTTTATTTAACGAAGTTGTTCTGTTCTAGGTCAGTGATTCAGAAGAGGATAAAGTAATAGTCTAGTTCTCAGACTTTCCTCTACTATACAAGCAAAAAAAATATAGCTGCAGTTGAGTGTGAACAGATTTTTATTGGAATAGCGCGTGTTCAAATTCTGTGAGCATGCATAATTCATTTTGTGCCAAAGACTACACATTCAATGTGCTAGAGGACATGAACAACCCCCCCCAAAAAAAACCCAGAATATATTTACAAAGGTACAAAGGGAATAAATCCACAGCTTCCTTAGTAATATTTCAAATGTGGCACACTTCTTCTGCCATTCAGAGCCAGGTTCTGTCTATTTGTTTTAAGTATAAATCTTAAGACTTGACCCCTCCCTGTGTATGCTGATCCATATGATCCAAAGCCTGTCATGGAGGAAAATAAATGTTAATGACCTGCTTTGGAGCACCACCGTTTCATTGGTTTTACTCTGGCGGATGAGTATCGTTCACACTCAACTGAGACCGCAGAGATTGTAACCAAGTTTGTGTTTGCCTGTCACTGACCACTGGGATGGCAGCTGGTTAAAGAAGCGCGTTTGCCTTTGGTGTGAATAGTGGCACTCTGGGGTGTAGTGCTTGTGCCTGACCCTGTGTTCTGTCTCGGGGTTCAAAGGTGACCCGGATTAAAATGTTATTTTTTAATCCCCTATTTTAATGGACTATCTTTTCAAATATTCTTCCTGCTATACTGACTTGCTCAGGCTCTTTCTATCAAAAGTACTTTTGCTATGTTTTTTATTGCCCTATACCTAGAGATGTTGCTTGTTTTTAGACTTTGCCATTTATGGGTTCTTGGCTCTCAAGAAAGGATTTATGCGCTTTCAGGTTCAAGCACACATTTCTTTTCTCCTGTTGTACAAATCTGTAGCACCTCTAATCACCCTCTGTCTGAAACAGTGAATTTTAGCGTCTGTCTCTGTCAGATACCATACAGAGAAGAAAATGCCTAAAAGAAAAGCCAAGGATTTATCTCGTGAATGTGTTTCCCCAGACCTCCCCTTACACCTTACAATCCATAAACTAAGAGCAATGTAAACAAGTTTTCCTGAGTATAAATGCACAAACATGGACCTTAGCAACCACTTCTCATCACAGTACACCTTAGCAACCATTTAAATATTAGTTTCTCTAATACTTACAGCTCGCCTGCACGTCTCCTCCGAGAAATATTTATCTACTACATATTCTCCACTCTTAAAGTCAACACACATGCTTTTATCTTATTTTTTCAGCAGAGCAAATTGATGATGAAATGAAGTGCCGGGGTGCATAATTTATGTTCTTAGGGAGGATTATGCCAGAGTTAGATTTAAGTGTGCGAGGCCCCTTTACCGTAACGCATGGCCGTTTCTGGTGTTGTTATCAGTGTGTGTCAGGTCACCTTGGATAACAGCTGCAGCAGAGAGGTTCCCTGGAGTTCGTCACCCAGCTGTCCATCCCCCATCATACCTGAGTGTAGTGGCCACAACAGCAGCCCAGACACAGAGACTGGAATCTTGTGGTCACAGAACACTTGCAGACAACTGGGGCTTTACCAAAGAAAGCTTTTTAAAATGACCTGCAGGGCACCAGCACTCCAAGCCCTTATGTGTCTGTGTACAGCAAATACGATTTTTAAACGCTGTGAACGCTACTTCTCTTCACAGGAACATCCAAAAACAAATCTAACTCTGCTCCAGGCTTCTCGTGATCGCTTGTCATTTTCACTGTTTGTGTGTAAGAGATGTTTTTTTCCCCCCACTGCCACAGACCCATAGTGACAGGCACACATAAAAGCACACATAAACCTAAGCAGTTAAAATAAAGTGTGTTATGTGATGTCAGATTAAACTGATTAAAGCTGTACAGGATGAGTTTTTGGAAATCCCAATAAATTTTTTCTAAGTGATGAATTTGATCCTGATTTCTGAAGGCAGTAAATATGTTCCTTGTTTCATCTTTTAGGTGTGCTGACAGACAAGTGAACACATATACTGCAATGTCTAAAGCATTAGGTGAATACATTTTTGTGTGATTGTTTGTCTAAAATCCAGAGTAAAGTTCAAGGAAATTATAGAGTCTGTTTTTTGTGATTATTATATCACAAGACTGGTATCTTTTGTCATTTCTAGTTCATGACAGTTCAGATTTACTCCCATTGACGGTAATTACTTAATGTGCCAGGTTTACTGACCAGAACCCTTTTATTAAATTTGTATTCATAACTAAAACATATATTGTGTTTCTCAATCAGCCTCGGTAAACTCAAAATAAACCTGAAAGAAGCCTCAGGCTGGAACAAAGACAGAAGCAGCTGCACATGTGCACAAGTGCATCTTGCACCTTGTTCCAGGGAGTAATCTTTTGGAAAATAGCCAAGCTTTCTGAAAGCAACTATCCCTCACATGAAATCTCTCTACCTCTCACTCATGTGATGATCCGAACCAAAAGAGTCTTTTTCAAACTCCCTGCCCACACAGTTTCTCCTCTTTTAATACCGGCAGCTCTATCCACCGGTTCTCTCCCCCTCAGCTTAAGCCCAGCCCTGGTTATCCATGAGGACAACAATCTTACCTCCTGCTGGGTAAAAAGGTCTGGTTTCTGTGTTTTTGTTGACAATTCCAGTGTTAGTTGAGTTAGATAAAAGGCCAAAGCTGCAACAGTGACATTTTGTAACTTGTTCTGATTTATTCAAACAAGATGAAGAATGCACCCCCATCCCACCCACACAAAACCACCACCCCCCTATTTTTATTTGCATGAGTTTGATTGCTGGGCAGAGCACCAAGAGGAATGTGCCCAACTAAACTCACCAGAGAATCTATCTCTGTGGATTACCCTCCAACGTCTGTTGAGACAGTTCCTAACAATTCATGCTTAGGTTGGTTCACAACACCCTCTATCTCTGTCTCTACAAATCGCCGTTCTTTCCTAATGACATTCCTGCAAACGCAAAGCCTTTCCAAAGTGATTACATACACTCTCGCACACCGTCAGATGTTAGCATCTTATACCACTTCAAGTGTCTAACAACAGGAACACAATAAGCTTTAAGTGATTCTGAGGCCTAAATGGGATTAACCTGCTCAGACAGAAGTCACCATCTGGCCAACCTATTACCAAATGCATGCTTTTACTGTTTACTCTCGATTTATAATAATATATGCATTGGTCCACGTTATGAAACATCAGCTTCACAAAACGGGCTAAAAATGTTACATTTTGTCAGTTTTGCAGCTGTAAAATCTTAACATACTTTCTTTTGGCACAACAAAATATGTTTTTTGATGTAATTGTATTTATTTTTTAAGACAGGGACAATGAATAGTTAAACAGGAGAACAAGAAAACACGTGTTGTGCCAGGTTTTAGTGGATTGCTGTTTTCCACCTGCACTCCATGGGCAGGTTGACAGGAAGAACATAGGAACAGAATAAAGACACAAGAGCATAATTGTACAGAAACATAATGGTAGTAAATAATAATAGTACATGAAACAAAACAAGTAAAGTTACAGAACAAAAAACGTGGATGCAAATTCAACATGTCTCTTTAATACTAGGCTACAGCATTATGAATATTTTTTTTTAAAACGAACAAACTTTTGAAGGGTTGATCAGGTCATCAAATTTTAGAATTTCATATTCAATTCACACCTGACAGTGATGGTAACGGCAGGGCTTTTTATCACGGATTTTAAGGATTCAAGCATTTTTCCAAAAGTTTTATTTGACTGGGACCAGCTTGTCATACAGTGCAGAAAATGGGAAATGATTTCTTATGTATCTGAAGTTAGCCAGGTTAAATTTCCATGTATTTCCCAGTCTTTTAACATGGTTTTGAAACTTAGAGTTGGATCTAGGGTAATACCCAAGTACTTACACTTATCCACATTATCACATTATAATGATTTGTTTGATCATTTTATAACACAGTTACCTAAATTATCCACTTTCAAATGCTGATGTGTACGGGAAAATAAGTTATTTGTAGATTGTGGTACAGTTCAAGCCCCATTACTGATACTGATGATGTATCAGTAACTAACTTTCCACTGACCTTTCACTGAATTTTTGCTACTACTTGCTCAGTAATTATACATTCCGTTTCGTCCGTTTATAAAGAAACTGCCCCAAAGAATGTCATCCCTCAGTCCTGAACTCTTATTCAACCCAAACATAGAGCTCTAGTCAACACAAAAAAGTTGTATGTAGAAGCATTTACCTCTTACAAAATTGAAGAGCTTCGAGATCTGATACTGCTCCAGTTCAGGTTTAGTGAGATTCATCACAAAAATATCTTCATCTGGGACATTTTTCTGTGCTTTAAGGCAAGACTACCTATCTAAGGTTTTGGGGAAATCTCAGTCATTCCGCCTTAAGCATTACCTTTATTAAGAATCCTGCAATGCTGAAAAACATGTTCAAAAGTTTTGAAAAATATTTTTTTAATAACTCCATAAGAAAATGCCACTTTTACTTTATAATACTTCAAAATGATCACTAACAGCCTCATAACAATGAAATAATTATGCTAATGGTGTAACATTTAATAGGTATAAGCTATGACTCCTAAACTAAAAACACACACACAACTATAACTTTTTAATCATTTGAAAAACTTTTGAAAAATTGTTGGTTTACAGAAAATAGAGATAGATTCAGTGCCGAGTCCAACAGATACTGAGACATCAGAGACATACATTTTTAACATCTGGCAAAAAAAAAGTAAGTTAACAGCAATCTGTTGCGACCGCCGCTGGTATTTTTTGTTGTACTTTCCTCCTAATCAGCACAGGATATAAAATCTGTGCAATACAGCAGAGTATCTAGAATATTGAATATGTCTTGTATATGTGAGTTTTGTTCCCGCTGCTGGACAGTGACTCCAGTGTGGTCTGAGAAGGGTGAGGACAGGCATGTGCAACAGGTGCCAGAACCAGCCGTTTCTCCTCACCTGCCGCAGAGGAGGAGATTCATCAGGAGCGTGACATGCCGGAGGTCCCCCCCCCCCCCCTCCCCCCCTCTCCTTTGTGCAGGCGCCCTGACAAACCATTTGCTCCCAAAGCTCAACTTTGACTTGATGTTTTCAGTCCAAACCCGTAAAGCTGTTTTCCATCTGACCTCAGACATGCGTTTGGAAGCGTTTTTTCAGGTTTGCGTTTGGCTTTTGAGCGGGTCTTGCTCCTTGAATCTGATTGCTTTTCACTGTGAATCTGTTTCATCATCTCTTCAGTTGAGCGGCTCTGGCGAACGCGACTGAAATCTGGGCCGCTTGTGACATTCTTTTATTCTGTTTGGCACAGACACAAAAGAGTCACGTCAGTTTAAGACTTTTAGATCAACATTAGACAGCAGCAAAACGCACAGCATGCACCATCTCTGTCTTTATGGCCGGTGACTGAATCAACTGCTTGATGTGATACTCAAGTGGTGGACTCACAGTGTCTGTGATAGTGCAGTAAAACTCTATATTTGTCTTTTTAATCCACGGTTCACAGACATGAAGGCAGGGCTGTGCAAATTACACTGGCCCTTGGAAATGAAGTCTGTTTCATATAAAAGTAAAAAGAAAGCCAGAAACTTGTGTGAAAAAGTCTTTGAAGTGGGCAGAAATCCCAAACCTCATCTGAAATTCTTCTTTTCCCCTTGTAATGGAGCAGGGGGAGAGGCAGAGAGAATTCCCCACAGCTAAATCTCTCTCCTGCTCTAGTTTAAATCGACTGTGCCTCTTTGTGATGTTTCTAGCCCTCATCTTTTCCCTGCCTACCATCATTCGAGTCATTTGGGTTACTGGGGAGTGGGTTCAGAACACAAAGAAAGGAAAAGAGGTTTGCAGAAGAAATACTGGGTCATATGCTTCGTGGGTCATATGCCGCACATTGTGGTGTCAAAGTAAGTCAGAGCTCCTGTCTATGTAAGAAAACCTACAATGAGATGCGATACTCACTGTCCTGTCAACTTACTGTCTCCACCAAAAAGATGGGATTGATGAATTTTAAGTTATGGACCGGATAATCGACAGAGTTGTGAAGTTAAAGTTTCAGTGTGTTTTTACAGATCACCTCCACTGAACAGATATATGTTCACACCTGACAGTAAAAACTGTCACTGCGGTGAATTAAAGGAACTGAAACGACACGGTGAGGGTTCAAATTACGTTGAGCTTTTACAAAAACACAGAGTTAGACAGCTGAATACAATCCATACTCTCCAGGCTTTTATATTCTTGTGCTGTAATTGCCATCCACTCATCCTGTGGAAATCCATCTCAAAAGTTACACAATTGTCACATTTAAAGAAGTGGACAAATCTATAGAGATGTTTACACAAATTGTTCAGTCTTTTACAGGAGGTCAGTCATTCCTGATAAGGGGTGTTACTGCAGCTAAATTTACATTCTCCTCTTTTTAAAAACTTTTTATCAAAGATGGGTTCTATGTAAGTACTTTTGAGACTGCATAAAGAGCTTTTCTGGGTTTGGAAATGATAAATGATAAACACTTAACCCATGTTTTTTACTTTTTCTTTTTAGCTTGGTCATGCTCCCTTTACATTTGTTTAATTTCAACACATTCATACAGGATTACTAACACATACATGACCTGTACTTGAGGTATATGGCATTTACTACAATCAAACCAGTGAATAATTTGGGACCGGTGTTCAGTGTCTTGCTTAAGGACACTTCAACACTTCAACTGAAGTGTTAATCAAACAAAAAATTGTTTGAATTGAGGACAACAATGTGCGGAAGCCCGGATTGGTTCAGCATGGAATGGGATAAAGTTGTAAAGATTATTTAAACTTGAAAGTTTCCACTGTGGTTCAAGATAATGCTTTAACTACACTGTGTGACCTTTTTAAGCAATGAGCCTTAAGACGGACTTCTGCAGGTAAGACGCTGACTAGTCACACAAATATAAAGTGAACCCTACTCCACTTTCTTTCTTTCTAAAGATTTTTTCCACTGATACATTTAGACACTGCAGATAGAGCTCGTAGTAGAAATGAGTTACATGAATAACACAAGGAGAAAAAAGCATTCAGGCAACAGGCATTAACATAATAAAATAATTAAACATAATTTAAAAAGCTTCTATTTTTGAGTGACCACAGGCAAAACAATCCGTCAAAAATCAGAAGCATGTGAGTCTTCTTAAGATTTTTGTCAAGACTGACATTCATGAAACTTACAAAACCTGTCGAGTATTTTGAGAATACCATAAGGGCTGAGAGTATTACTGAGTACAAGGAGCCAAAGAAGCAGAATACTAAATGTTTTTTCCTTTATTCCTCCATATGCATTTGAAGAGTTGAAAGAGAAAAAGCCTGTGAGATGAAAGAGGGAGAAGCATATTTTGGCTGCAGTGGAGTGTTAGATGTGAGAAAGCCTCGGTAAGAGTAAGGAAAAGTGCATATAGCTCCTCTTGCGAACGTCCTCGTTCCTCAAAATATAAGAACTGAAAGACTCTTAAAGATGTCCTGGTCGATTTCCAGGTCACGGGTAGGTTGAGACAGAAGGTGACAAGGCTCAAGAAGCGGAATGGGGAAATAAGATAGAGAATAAAGCTCCATGTATTGTCAAGAGAAACGCAACATAAAGCAATGTGCATTTGTTATGTTGGAATTGTTTGTTGCCTGTTTGTAGTTTTTCCCTGAAAATGCGGCTGAAGATGTCTTATAAGCAAATTTCATTGTGACATCTGCACTTTCTCTGAAGTTGTTTCTGTAACAACTTCAAAGTAAAACACTGCATCATATTTCTTTTTACATTTTTATTGGTTAATAACCATTATAACTTAATATAATCTCGTTGCTTACCAAGAGTTTGAGTGCTACCTATCTTTAAATGACTGAATACCTTAAACACCGAAGAGTATTGTGCTTTCTTAGACTCTCATTTGTACAGCTGGTGCCTCTTTATTGTAAGATTAACTTGACATTTTACTTGTTTTCACAGGTAAAATCCCTTTGTTTGAATTTATGACCACAACCAAGGTTCAGAACAAATGTCACGGCAGGACATTAGGAAAAGGTGAAAAAGGACTGAACTCTCTGTCCGGATTGGCATTTGATCATTTTGGGTTGCTCTAAATCCTCTCTTGCTCTTCCCATGTCCCTACAACAGTCTCTAATGTTTGGTTTAGTAGTAGCAAAGCGGGTTATTCTACGGGAATGGAAATCCTCTACCCTGCCTTGTTTTAAGAAATGGCTTAATGATATGGTGTCCTGTATCTATCTTGAGGAGATTCGATATTCTTTGTCTGACAATCATCATAAGTTCCTGGATGTTTGGGGTCCTTTCAATAGATACATACAAAATAATTAGCTAAAATAACTGTTGTTTACATCTGGCCCTGTTTTTTTTTCTAATTTATTTTACTCATTTACCGTTTCGGCATGTTTATGGTGTTTATAACTTGTTTTCATCTTCTCTTGTTATTCCATATTCCATGGTGGGCTGTTTGATCAATGTCCTCAGAAATGTCTCTTACTTGCTTGGTTTCTGTCTCATGCTCGATAACATTCTACAATCTGATGTGCATTTATTTTATCCTCTTATCAGACCCTTTGTTAGCTGACAGTGTTTTGATTGTCTGTTCTGTGAATTTTTGTTTTGTTGACTCTGGTTAGTTTTTATTTTATTTTATCTTTTATTTATTATCCTTGTTGTTTTGTCCTTTAATTTGCCTGTTTATTCTTGAAAATCATAAATAAAAAGTTTAATTTTTTTAAAAAAAAAAAAGGACTGAACTGTTGACTTTGAGTTGTTCAAGAGGTAATTGAAAGCTTTGTCAGATTACCTACAATCTGTATCATCTTTCAGTTCATGAAGTTAGGACAACGTACTTCATCGTTGTGTGTGGATAACCTGAGGAGAGCCCACAAACTGCCCGCTCCGCTCACACAGATTGGGGGCAGTGTGTCTCTCCACAGGAGTGCCAGACGAAGTCAAGGGCCGGTGGTTTGGACAGACTCTGACAGAGGAAGGGGTGGGAAAGACAGAAAGGACGTCATTCACCAGAAAAGCAAGCGGAAGGGGGAGAATTTCAGGTCACGTTCCTGTTTTCTTTCTTTTAAAACTGATTTTTATTTCACTTCTTCATCCTGTACACGGAAAAAGATTGATATCTTTAAGAAAATTGCTGCTATCACAAAGACCGCCGCTTTAGATGGGAATGGAGAAACTATCTGCCAAAAACTACACGAGACAAAACGGTTTGGTCTGTGTTTATCTATGAATCCAGATTTGAAAAAAAATACGGTGTTACCCTGAAAACAAACTCTTGGAAGAAAATCTCCTATGTAAAAAATAGATAAAAGATTAGACTAAAATGTACTCACCTCTTATTCTGGTATATATATTCATCATGTTTAAAAGTATATATCTATCTTTATTTTTCACCAGAAATGAATAAGTGCACATTGTTCAAGCCCATTTAAACAATACTTCTTTTAGGAATCCTAATGCAGCACTCAACCACAGAAAATACTGAATAAACTGAGCTTGAAGTCAGCTTCAGTTCCTGGAAACACCCACAAAAATAGAAGAAGAAAGCCATGTGCCTTCACCTCCCATTTGCCCTGGTGAATTTAGCCGGGACCTAGGCTTACTGGAACTGTGCAGACCAGAGTTTTTCATTAGATTATGGCTGGAGCTTTTTGAATCCAGCCTGCACGTACATGCATGTGATCATTTGCAGTGAAACAGTGGATCGAAAAGGGTTGCGGGACCTCAGTGTGTTTTGGAGGGGGGAGGGGGTGACCGATTGGGCCTCCTGCTTTTGCTCAGATCCAATGACGAGCTTTGCCCTGAAGGAGACTGTCATGTTAGCGGTGACCCTTCGGAAAGATTGTTGCCATGGCCACAAGACGCCGTAATGGACTAATGAATCACTCTGGCACACCTCCGCTCAGACACATCGGTGTCTCGCTGGGGGCACAGACGGGAGGGAAGCAGCTGGGGGAGGGGGTGGGGTCAGAGCGCTCCGCACACACAATGCAGGGCTGGGCTCAGGCAGTTTTGGGGACCCAGGTGGCCAATTGTTCCCA